ATGACATAATCATCCTCCATGGTGTAATCTAATGTGATCAGCCAATAAATTGTAAAGAGAGTGTCCTTAGAGTTTTGGTTTGCATTAAATATTTATGTGGGTATTGTAGCAAGGCTTGCTTGCTTCTTGTGGATTCTACATCTGGCTTGTCATCATCTGACATCTGGTCTTTAGGATTCATTAGTGTCTGCAACCTGTGAGCCAGCAGATTGCTGCTGGCCTTCTACTCTTGGATTCATTAACCCCTATAGCTATGAAAGTGAGAAGCTTCCAGCCTGACACCTGACTCATTAATTTGGGACTTTTCAACCTCTGCAACTAGGTGAGGCATTTCTTTGAGCTAAAACTCTCTGTTTCCTATATATAGGGACATCAAAAAATTCATTAGAGAGCAGTGCTGTTAGTCCAGATTAAGATTTGTGTTCCAGAGACAGACAGGAAACAAGGCAACCAAGCCTCAATGTAACAAGTATGAAAAGATCTCCTCAGCAGCTACCAGAGCAATCCTATCAGGAGGGAGATACTGTGTTCCCAGGAGCCAGAAAAACAACTTAAAAGCTAAGAGCACCAATGTTTCTTAAAACCCCAGATTTACAGCAGCAATGCCTGCTGACTGTTACTGACTCCTGTTTACCATTGAGCAAAGGTTCAAGCTACTTTTGTGCACTTCCCCTTCCCTGCCCTGGTCACCAAAAATGCAATGAATCCAAAGAAAGCCCGAGAACAACATTATCAAGAGAAAAAACCTATATTGCATTGATCCTGAAGCAGGAAGTAACAAACAAACAAACCCTATAGAATACTAGAAGTCATGGAAGAAAATTTTCCCAATATCACAAAGGAGGAGAAAATAACTATTCAAGAATCTGAGAAAAGTCTAAGCAGGATAGGTCCCCAAAGAAAAACATTGTGGCATATTTCAGTCAAACTCTCTAGGAAAAGTAGAGAACCCTGAGGTCAGGTATGGTAATAAGAAGAACTTTACTTACAAAGTAAAACTGATAAAGATAAGCTTATACATCTCAGCAAATATAGGTAAGAAGAAAACAGAGAGTGACATAAATCAAATTCTTTTTTTTTTACTTCTTCGCCAGCCTTTTATTTTTTAAATTGTTTTCAGCATCTTTCTTCTTGTATTCATGATTAGCTCATTTCCCTCCAACCTTCCCTCCCATATCCCCAATAACAATATTAAAATTAATCAGAGAAACAAAGTTGATTGAGAAAATATTAAAAATGAGCAAATTTAAAATGGATCCAAAGGGAGATCAAATGACCAGGTATTACATTTAAACGTTAATTACAACTGCCATAATGGGGTTGACAATACAATCTGATAGCAAGGCTATTCACTATTCATATCCTCTGACTGTGGTCAGAGGGGATTCACCAGATGCTGAATTCATGTGTGGATCCTGCAGCAAATGGATTTTGGGCTTTTACTGTCATCCCTAGCCCTCTGCAAATTAGGTGTTCACAATTTAAGCTTTATGCCATTCCTTCTTTCAAATTTGAATTTTATTACTTAACCGTGGATCACACCAGTTGGTGTGCTTCTTCCATGTGGACTTAGTTGCTTGCTTGAATATAAGCCTTTAAGACCCTGACACTACTCCAATTGATAACGAGGTACCATCTGCCTTCCACACCACACTTTGCTGTAGCACTGTCTTCAGTGATCCCTTCATGAGGGTGAGCATCGAGCAGGGCCATGTCATAAGAACGAATTGTTCTTGGATTAGGATTAGAATTGAGAGTGAACCCAAAAGCCATTCACTTGTCTATTGTTCATGTAAGTCTCTGGTTTACATTGTTATTATCATTTTATGACAGATAATATTATCAATCATCTCCCTGTGGCATCAGGTAATTCTATTGATAATGTCATTAATGTATCCAACAGTACAGAATTTAACACAGTTGAGGCATGGGAAGTTGTATAAGTACAGACCGGCTCTGAATCTCAGTCCATGAGCTGTTGATTGTATAGGTAACATTCTTAAATGATTGAGCTCTGTTTACACCTTAACCATGGGGGCTGGTGATGGGGGGAATTTTTCAGTAACATTCATTGACATGGGTGGAGTCACATCTATGAGATCAATACATGTCATAGTAAAAGCAAGGAGGGAATTAAAATAATAAATATACATGGTCCTGGGCCACCTTTCACTGAGCGCACACAAAGGAAGGGTTTCTAAGGAAGGTCCAGTGACCGCTAATTCCACAGCCGTGGAGTGGCTGGCAGTCACCTGCTTCATCTCCCACCAGGGAGTTTCTGAGGCTGTTAACTCCTAATGGAAGCAAAAAAGCCTCGTTTTTTCTCCCTGTGAAGCACCCGGTGATTTTGAACTGTTCACCTTCTGGTTAGCAGCCTCATCCATAACCCACTATGCCACCAGGGCATACCTATGGTCAAGACAAGCTAGTTTTGAAAAGGTTTTTTCCATTTCTCCTAAACCACCATTAGTAACATTTGGAAGTACAATTTTATTACAGTGGGGATATTTTATCACTTGGTCATACACGATCACAGTTGATAATCTGTGCACACAAAGACGAAGATGCCGATATTTCAGTGTGGGTCTTCATACGAACAAGGAAGCAGTTTCTTTTCATGACAATGCTATTGGGAGATACAGAAAATAGGGACGAGATTGTGTTATTTGAGGCCCTATTTCAACACTAATGGATCAGAACATGATGAAGAGCACCAGGCTTGCCACATGCTGATGGCTTTACACTTTTGCGATTCTCTCAATGGAGCAAAATGGGGAATTGCTTGGTTCTTCTCTGAGGACAAATGTTTTGGAAAACATGTGCAGAGGTCACCAGCAGTCTTCCGTGCACGTGTCTTTATAGTGCGCTTGGTTTCTTGACACAAGATGGTGCCCCGGGGTCAAGCATGCTCTGTTTTAAAATCCCACATGAGAGGCAGTTACCGGAAGTGGAGTGGTGACAAGTTCAGGTTCGAGAGTCAGATGTTGGGCTTTCTCCCTTACTGCCTATGGGATGTGGTCTAGCTGACAGCTCTCCAAGCCTCAGAGTCCACACTTGTAACGTGAGACTTTGATAGGCTTGCACCAAAGGAACTCCCAGCCGGGTGTGCTTGCTGGGGTTACACTCGCCCCTGCAGAGTGCTCTGCCCAGCACACAGCTCATTAGAGAGGAGCCGGCAGTGTTGCTGATGCTAATAGGGCAGTGATTTTTCATTAAAACCCCTGAAACAGTCACTCTTCAAAACGAAGCCCAAGCAAGCAAAAACGGTTCACCAGAGGGGAAGGGGACTTGAGGATGTCTGAGGGGAAATGGAATGGCAGGGAATGGAAACATCCCACCGACTTTCTGAAGCGCCCCTGTCTGAGAGCAAAGAGGCTTCGCTGGGGGTGTTGAGGAGACCCCGTAGGAGGAGACAGTGTTGGGCATTTTCCTCAGACTTTTCGAAGCCCCCCTCTTAGGGACCCAGGAAGCAACCCAAGGGAGCCACCTTTCTGGCCGGCAGCTAAGCTCACTGCTTGCATGTCTGGGCGGTACGTGAGAGGAAGGTGGAGGTTGGGAAATGAGGGTCTGCTGCAGGGGAGGGCTGTCCTTTATTTCCCGCGGGGTCTTGGGCTAAAGGGGACTGATAGTGGGGGTCACTGTTTGGAACTGAGGTGAAGGGTCCATTCTGAGCAGCACAGGGAATGAGGTGAAGCGGACCATCCAGGTGCAGACAGCTCATTGAATGCAGGGCGGGTGAGAAGATGGTGACCCAGTCGGCCTCACTGTGGTCCCTCCCTTCCAGGGCCCCCACCCTCTTTACTCCTCCCTTCTTGCTACCTCCTACTATCCCCACTTTCTGATCACTTCTTTCAAATAAGGAAATCAGAAGTAATCGGGGTGGGGGTGGGGGGAATGGAAATGTCAGGTTTCCCAGCAGCACCTCACACACGTGCCGGGCACACCCATCGGGCAGAGCGCTGTGCCCACAATCCACGGGCACATCTCTCATCCAGCTGGGCATAGAGGTGGGCATAGAGAAACGTGGACACAGACAGCACAGGGACACCACAGATGCAGAGAGACAAAATGATATTTCGGTTAGATGCAGAGCCAATGAGGAATACCAGCCGCCCCCCACGGCCACGCTTGGTGATTGCAGCTCCGCTTGGCGGTGGGACACGAAGGCAGTTGCACTTGGGTTTACTTGCTGAGTGGACTGCAAAACGTGTGGGCAAATGGCCCTGAGCTCTGCGTCCCATTGTTCCCTGAGAACCTTTTGAAGTCCTCTGGTAGATTTTCATTCAGCGCGTGGCCATCCTGATCCACAGGCACAAGGGGGGCGGTTTACCACTCGTTTTAATGTCTGAAGGGAGAAGGCTTCAGGCAGATTCTGGATTTTGATGATTTTCCTCTCATGGCAGAAATATTCAGTAACCCATAGTCAATACTTGCCATCCTAAGGACAAACGGATAAGCAAGAATCACCGAAATCGGATGACTTGGTGTGATGGCAAATACAGCACAATGTTGCTTTGTTTGCTGACACACCAGAAGAGTCTTTCCAAAACTCCGGAAGGCAGGGAAAAAACAGCCCCTTTAGAAACGAGAACCACTCGAAGAGTAACCTATGCACATGGTGTCCACTGGGACGAGACAGTGCGATCAAGAGCAATACGGAAAGCCCACCTATGAAGGGGCTTCGAACGCTTTGTGGGGAAATGGCGTTATCTTCTAATTCCAGTTTTCCACGAAACTGGTAAAGCCTGCCCCGTGAGCAGCCCCCGCCCCCGCCCAGCCCAATACAGAAAGATTTAGAAAAATTCATGGCCTGGTATCATATTCTTACCCACCCTCCTCTCTGGGCAGTAGTGGCTGAAGATTGCGCTGTTGACCGTGGGAGAAGCCACAGGAAGCCACAGTCCGTGTCCCCCTGCCGCTGGCCCCCAAAGCGGCAGCAGTTCTTGTTCCTCCTGCTCCAAATGTCTGCTTCCAGGCTCGGTTTGCAGCCGGAGGCCCGCTCATTTGAACTGGCTGTCAATCAAGGTGCCCCTCCTTTTGGCTTTCTCAGCTCCCAGCTCGGCCCGCCCTGGCAGCCGCCTCCGGCTCACGCCCTTCCGCTCCAGCTGCTTCTCGATCACCTTGGCGTTCTGCGCGTATGAGTCAGCAACGTCCCGAGCCTCCATCTCCTCTTCCTCTTCATCAATGGTAGACACGGTGACGGAACTGAACTTGCCCATGTCTTTGGTCCGTTTGGTCATCATCACCTTTTTGGGTGGCTCCTGTTTCTGAGTGTACAGGTTTGTCTTCCCCAAAGCCTGGCCCAGCTTCACCAGGGCGCCGTCCATGATGAAGGTCACGGGCGCGTTCTTGGGCTGCGTCTGGTAGAAGAGCGGGAGCCCGCACTTGGCACACTTCTTCCGGTACTGCCGTTCAATGCCTTCGCGTCTGCGGAGATACACGGCGTCCTCGTCTTCCGTGTTGCAGAACTTACGGGCGTGCTTGGCAGCATCAATCACTCGAGACCGGTCCCGGGGCCTCATGGGTAACTTCCCTAACTGACAGTCCAGCACCAGGACCATCTGGCCGCACAGGCAGTAGTAGACGTGCAGGGGCTTCTCACCATCCTCGTACTCCTCCCGGTCCCGGGTGTC